GTGCCTTGGAGCAGGCAGGGCTGACTTGCCCAACTGTTTCCTGGGGCCCTGCTTACCCTCTGGAGGGATGCAGCTCTCTCAGAGGCTGGGCATCCCCCCTGCAACTCAGCCCCCCACAGCTGCGGGACGGTCCCCAGACAGCCAAAGGCGTGGCCATGGTCTCTGTGGTCTCTTCAATATGGGAGGCTTTGTGTGTGTGGCAAGAGAGAAAACTCCAGACTGGGGATTCGGGGGAGTGGGGTCGGCCTCTTGCACTTCCTGGGAGAGTCGGAAAATGGGCAGTTCCAAGCTAGGTGACCCTGGGTGAATTGCTTCTCCCCTCCCAGGCTCCTCTGTGGAACCAGAGAAAACCCACATGCTCTGTGGATGGTGCCATGCCAACTTCCTGGTGGCAGTACTGCGCTGTAGTTACACAAGGTGTTACCATGGAGGTGGGCCTCTCTGGACTTTTCCTCACATGTTCTGTGAATTTACTATTATTTTAAATTTAAATTTTTGGGGGGGGTGCCACGCTGCGTGGCACGTGGGATCTTAGTTCTCCAACCTGGGATCGAACCCACGCCCCCTGCAATGGAAGCGCAGAGTCTTAACCGCTGGACTGCCAGGGAAGTCCCTTAAAAATGTTTTAAAATTATTTTCAGAAAAGAAAAATAGAAACAGGTAGATGACCATAGTATGAAATAGAATCTGACTTCAACAACTAATGGCAAAAAAAAAAAAAAAAAAAAGAGCAGGCGCATTCTTTCCTTCATCCAAAACTCAATACCTAGGTGTGTTATTTTTTTCTTTTTAATTAATTAATTAATTTTATTTTTGGCCGTGTTGGGTCTTCGTTGCTGCATGCGGGCTTTCTCTAGTTGCGGAGAGCGGGGGCTACTCTTCGTTGCGGTGTGCGGGCTTCTCACTGCGGTGGCTTCTCTTGTTGCGGAGCACGGGCTGTAGGCACAAAGGCTTCAGTAGTTGTGGCTCACGGGCTCTAGAGCGCAGGCTCAGTTGTTGTGGTGCACGGGCTTAGTTGCTCCGCGGCATGTGGAATCTTCCTGGACCAGGGCTAGAACCTGCATCCCCTGCCCTGGCAGGCGGATTCTTAACCACTGCGCCACCAGGGAAGTCCCTTGATGTGTTATTAAACCACACAAATTAAAGGCTTTTTCTCGCTGATTTAAAAAAAAAAAGACAAAGGTCGAACCTCCCAAGGAGTCAGATCCGGAATTAGTTTACTTGGGTCTGTATCTTCACTCTGCCATTTACTGGCTCTGTGATCCTTGCTAAGTGACTATTTCTCCATGCCTCAGTTTCCCTCATCTGTAAAATGGGTGTCAAGAGTCTCTTCCTCATGGGTTAGAAGAACTCAGATGAGCGGTTGGTTTCTGTAAAGGGCTTCCAGAGGCGCCTGGCACGTGGTCAGCTCTCAGAAGGTGCTGGCGACCATGTTAAGGTTACCACGAGAGCAGTGAAATAATACAGGGCAAGGGGCTGAGCGGAGGGAGATCCCTGTAAGAACTGACTGTCCCCCATGGCTGCCTGGCTGTGTGTGACCTTTGGCAAGTCACGGGACACTGTGCGGTCTTTGCTGCCCTCCCCTGTGGAAGGAGAGGTGGAATCTAGGAGACTGCCTGCCCAGCCCCACGTGCGCGTTTTCCTGGGGCCCCCTCCTGGCTCGGCATCCCCACCCTCACCCCCATGGCCATTGCTGATGGCGGACCTGCCGGTTCTTCCTCCCTGCTTCCCATGGCCTCAGTCGATGGGCCCAGATGTGGGTGCCTTCCCCAGGGTGTCACAGGGGAGGCATCCCATTCACGGGGAGCATGCGCTGGATGGAGCTCTAGGGCTGCCTGGGGCTACTCTCATGTCCCGAGGAGACAGTGGCTCTGCCCAGAGAAAATAGAGAGACATGGGGGACTCCATCCCTGGTTCCCGCTGTCCCTGAAGCCCAGGTGTGGTCCTGTCCTCCCAAGGTGTGGCCGCTCACTTCTGCCTCAGGGACGAGAACAACAGTAGCAGCGATCGCTTATAGAAGCCGAGCTACGAGCCAGACACTGTTCTGAGACCTGCACACATTTCAACACTTTTACTTCACATCACAGCCCGGAGTATCATCACCCCCTTTTGCAGATGGGTAAACCGAGGCACAGTGACTAACTTGTGCAAGATCACACACCAGTGAGTGGCAGGGCCGGGACTTGAACCCCATCAGCCTAGCACCAAAGCAGCGCCCCCATCCACTCCTCCTGTCTCTCCTGGCAGCCCTCTTCGCCGCAGCTGCTCGGCCGGGATCCTGTCATTGCCAGCAGCACAGCGGACCTCTAGCCCCTGAGGGTCCTTCAACTCCGGTCCAGTGCACTGTCTGCCTTCCTTCCGCCTCTTCACCTGAGGACCCAGGACAGGCCTTTCCGGGTTTCCCGCCTGTTTTCACAACTCTCACCCCCTTCATCCTGCAGCAGGCATGGCGGGCGTCATCCCGCTCCGTCGTGGTAGAAACTGAGTCTCAGAGAGGCTGCGCTCTGTGTCCAGGGGCACACAGCTGCGACCGCCACCGGAACCCGGCTCCAAGTCCAGAGGCCTCTTACGTCCTGGACAACAGGACCTCGGCTCACACTTTAGCTCAGGTGAGCAGCCCTGTCACCTCGTTTCCAAATCAATCAAGTCCAAGGAAGGGCTGTGCCAGCTCCCAAGGGGACGGTGCTCTGGGCTCAAAGCCAAGAAATACAGCTGAGCTCCGGGTACATACCCCAGTGCCTGCAATCACCCATTCATCTGTGTGTCTTCCTCCAGAATGAGGACCCAGGGCAGGGACATAAGGGGGAAAGCCGGTGAGGGCAGGGTGGAGGTTCCACCAGGAAGGGGGCTTGCAAGCCCACCCCTGGGGCTGCGTGATGGAGGGGCAGAGCCCTGGAGTCAGGAGGCGGTGGTTCCAATTCCCACTAGACCATAAACGCCATGCAGGCAGGGACCGTTTCTGTGCTGTTCCTCTCTGTGTCTCAGATGGAAACTAAGACAGGCAGCATATATCATAATAACCCAAGCAGAACATTATATATAATTAAAAGATAAAAGGCACTGCCAACTAAGCTGCTATGATGCTTTCACCTTTCTATTGTAAACTTAGTAAAGACCTCTTTCAGATTTATTTAGACATAGATTTTAATCATGCCTCATTCTTGTGCATACATCAGAAAGAAAATGTTAAGTGACATAAATGGGATAAGGTCTTTCCTAGAAGGTCATCATGCTTGGATCCAACCTTTCCGAATCACTTTTCCACTCAGAGTTGCCAGGGTCCGAGTTTTTCTGCCAACGTGGCCTCTGAATCCCCAAGATTCTGATGACGCAGGATTTCCCAGAAGGCGGTTCCTTGGTTTTTCCTGGAAGTTTCCACCGGGTTGCGTACACCCAGCCTGCATGTTTAAATGTGCTCACGTGCAGGCAATGACGCCTGGTGGTCACGACTAGGACACTTCCCAGCTTCGGGGATGTGGAAAGGTGAAAAAAAACGTGCATCTTGCAATCGCCAAGAAAAGGTGGTTCGTGCTTGGTAAATATTTCTTGATAGATGGAATGTATGAATGAGTGAATGAGTACCCGATGAGTGACTGGGAAAGTTAATTAATTACCCTGAACCTAAGGGAAATGCACCAATGAAACTTACTGATGGATGAAGTGAGATAATTAGAGTCTCGGTATTTGGGCTTAAACAGAGGCACTCAGCTGGGGGCCCATGGACTCTTGGGCCAAGGTAATAATAATAAAGAATGATAACCATACCCGCTGACTGCTCTCTATACACCATCTGTCATAATCCTACCCGGCAACTCTGAAAGGCAGTTACCCTTATCATACCCATTTCACAGAGGAAGAAACTGAGGCTCAGCGAGGGGAAGTGCCTTGCCCAGAATCAGAACCCAGGTTGACCAGCCTCTACTCTCTCCACCCCATCTAGTGGACAGCCCCCCAGAAGTGGGGGTGAGCTCCGCCCTGTCCCCAGGGCCCTCTGCAGATCCGTACAGCAGCAGTGTCCCCTTCTGGGCCTCCACGGCTGGAGGGAATTTGCTTGATGGGTCTCTGGAGCCTGAGCTGTGAGCAGGTCAGACCAGTTTGGAATCCAGACCACTTCCGGGCTGTGTGACTTTGGGTGAGTCCTTTCAGATTTCTGACACCCAAGTTTCTGCTGGTTGTAATTGTTTACCCCTGCCATGTATGGCCAGCCGTGAAGGGGACAGTCTCTTAGACCTCTGGTCCTCGGCCCTGATGGTCTGGCTGTTCATCCCTGCCACCTCCCCGGGAGGGAGCTTCAGCCAACTGCAGGCTCAGGTCCCATCCAGACTAGTGAGATGGACCCTCCAGCACAGACAGATGGGCACTGGGGATTTCATGGGTGACCCACGCTGTGACCCCTGAAATCACGTGTATAAATTCCACAACATGCCTGGAATGGATTGACATAAACCTCAGCATCTGAGACGGAAACCAGATTTGTCTGTGGTCGTACCTGCCATTCTTGGATAAAGGCGTCTTCCTTTTCCATCAACGGGAAGGTCAAAACCTCCCCCAGCCAGTGTGACAAAGGCACACTTTACACAACTTTGACATGAATCGCTTGACTGTTTTTCTCTCACATGTTCCATACACAAAAACAAAGCAACCATCAAAATAATTCTTGAGCAATGTGAACGCACGGATGCTCAGAAACGACCAAAAAAAAAAAAAAAGGCCCATCGGTCATCAATCTCCACTTTAAGTTGGACTTGGCGTGTTTTCCAAGAGCGTCTGGATGGTATCTGGAGAAAAAGTGTGGATGTGTAGGCCGGGGGAGGACCGTGAGGGGCGGGGCAGGGGTGAGGAGACATGCTTGTTTTTAAAATACGGGCACTCAGGAGTCTCCGCACAAGCCCATCTTGGAATTTGAAAGGTCAAGCCCTGCCAAATGATTGATCATCGATCCCTATCAGTCACCAATGGGGCTGTGTTACATGCCCAATGAATTGAATCATTTCCCCCCAAAGCCGGTGGATGTGTGTGTCCTTTTGGATTGTGTAACAGATGCCCCCAGGGCTCTGCCCGTGTCCTCTTGGGCCCCCTCCCTGGCAGGGGGTGGGCTGCCCCTGGAATTGACAACCGCTCCTCCAAGGGACAGCCCTCACCCCACCGCTGAGCGGGGCTCGGCTCCCTTGCCTTCTGAAGGGGCCAGCGCCACAGTGGGACTCAAACCCACTTACATCATTTGCAAAATGAACATGCGGGCCCCTTGTTCAACTCTGTTAAACCAAGCACGGGGCCCTTGTGAGCACCTGTATTGGTGCCGCCCCTGGAGCTGGTCCTGGTGGGACACAGGCCGCCTCTGGGACCCCCAGGGGATCTCGCCTCGGGACCGTCTTACATCACCTGGTAAGACCTCTTCTCTTCCTGTCCCACTGCCCCACCCCTCTGCTAGTTCTTCCCAGGAACCTTCCTAATGAATCAAATCCTCCTCCCTCTGCTTCAGAGGGACCCACACTGACACGGTACACGTGTGGCCCAGACAGTGCGGGGGTCCAGAAGCAGAGCTGAGCTGAAACCTCATCCCAGTCACACCCGTCCACCTCCCACTCCCAGGACTCTACGGCTTCAGCACCTCCGATTTAAGATTATCAGGTGGTGAACACTATGAATCACGCGTGAGTAGGTAAGTTCATTTCCATTTTATGATGAGCAAACGTATCTTGAGGACATTTGGGTTGGGTACATGCCTCCAAGAGTCAAACCTGGAAGAAATCTGTACCAGCCAAGACACTGGCATCTGTCTTAGAAAGGGGCTTCATACAGCTCACAGAGGCAGTGACTTCCCATGGTAGATCTGGGGAGCTGCAAGGTCAAGGGGACTGCTAGGTGGGCCTCCTTTCCAGGACAATAAAACAGGGACCCGGAACAGGCGAGTGGCTCCCATGAAGTCACCCTGCCAGGTGGGGCCACCCAGGGGTTGAGAGCCAGGGGTCCTGTCTCCAAGCATCTCTGGGGTCATGCTCTGTTGAGCTGGGCATGACCTCTGGGGGTCAAATCATTTTTTACCCAACGGTTTCTGAGGCTTAGCAGAAAGTGGAGGAATGTTCTTCCAGGTTGGCTGCAAGGGAAGCAAAGAGGGAATGAATATGAACCACTGCTTGGGTTCATATGAACCCAAGAACATGGGGTCAAAAGTGTGTGTCATCTACTTCCTCCACACCCACCAGAAACACCGGAAAGATGCCAGTTTCCACTAAGACTAAATTCTTAACTCACCGCTAAGTCTCTCTAGGTTCCATCTTCCTCTTCCCTTCCTACCTGATTCTGTGTGGATCTTTCTTACAACCTTGGTTGCACGAGAATCTTTTTGCCAGCCTCCAGTTTGTTTTCAGTGAGCGGTGCTCCACGTGGAGATGTATTTTTGATGCATTCATCGGGGGAGTGGGCTCTGTGTCCTCCGCCGCCGCCATCTTGTCTCCCCTCCTATCTTACTTAGTTCCTAACGCATCCCTCCCCATCACTCCCATTTTACAGATGAGGAGACTGAGGCTTGGAGAGTGGAAGCCATTTGCCTAAGGTCACCTTGTGGTGGAGCAGGAATTTAAACCCAGTTCTGGCCGGCTGGTTCTTAAAAGCCATCCCAAATCATCTCTCACTGTCCCTTTCTTTCCCACTGGCCCCAGCACGTCCCTGTGTAAGGTTCACAGACTCAGGTGGGTCAGACCCACTCCAAGAACTGTTCCTGTCATCAGCAGGTAATAGATGTGTTGGCATCAATCCCCATGGACTCTAGATTTTCCTGCAGGACTCACACCTGAGTATTCTGAATCTCAAACCTGATGTTTGCCTTTCAAGGGCGCTGCGGTGGGTGGGGGAATCATCCCCTTTCAAGGGCTTTTGTTTACCATGCATAGACTTGAGCTATCACAGCGCTGGGTGGGTGTTCAGGTTTTCCTGGCCAAGACCCCTGGACCTTTGCATCCACCTGCATCTCACCTTGAAGAGCATCTGAGAGCAGAGCCTGTGCCTTCCTTACCTGGTCACCTCTGATGCCAGCCTTCCCCACCATCATTCTGTTCCCACCCCAGTGGCCTCCCTGGGGTTCCTCAAAGCAAGATCTTTCCTGCCTCGGGACCTCTGCCCTTTCCGCTCCACCTGCCTGGGTGCCCATGTCCGATCTTGGTTCAGATATCATGGCTCTGCTCACAGCGGCCTTCCTTCCTGGCCCCGACCTGAAGCAGCTCCCTCCTCGCCTGGCTACCCCGCATCACATCACCTGTCTGTCCAGCTTCCTTCACGACACTATTTCAGTCTGGGCCTTTCTTGCTGGTTTACTGGTTACTCAGTTTAGTCTCCTACTAGGATGTAAGCCCCCGAGAGCAGGAGCCCTGATTTATCCACGGCGTCCCCCTAGCACCACGCCTGCACGCTGGAGATTTCCACAAACGACTGCTGAACCTCTGGGCACCCGGTTCGTGCCTGAGAGTTGGCCCCGGATAGCACCGCGTGGCAGAGGGAGGGAGACAGAGGGACCAACTTCATGGGACAGAGGAGGGCTCGTCTGTCTGTTCACAGAGGCATGAAGGCAAAGGAACGTGTAAGTTACAATCCAGTCTGGTCCTTGGATGTAGGGCCACGGGCTATAGAAACTTCCATTTCTGAGCAGGCCCAGAGCTCTCATATGTTCACTTTGAAATTATAAGGGAATTTTCAAATTCTACCCGTAGGTAAAGCCCTACTCTTGCCCTCCCACTGTTCAACTTCGTGATGAAAGCTACCTTGGACACCCGGCTGCCCAAAGCCACCCGCTGTCACTGACCCATCCCGCCTCCCACTTACCTGCTGCCGTTGCTTTATTGAAAGTGCTTCTGCCGTCCTTTCCCGTGCTCTGCCACATTTTTGGAGGCACCCTCTGCGCAAAGAAGTGGGCTGTGTCAGGGAAGGTGTGTCGATTCCTGCTCAGATGCTCACGGCTCACCAGCCAAACCAAGTCCAAACACCGGCGCCCTGGCCCTGCCCCCTCTCCTCCCCCAAAGAGGTCCCCCAGTCTCCACCTGCAGCTGCTCCCCCAGCCCGTGTGGTCTGCCCTCAACTCCTGTCATTTCCCCCCTCCCCCAGCCCCGTGCTCACGGCGCACTCCGGCTGCTGTGATGGCCAAGTTCATTCTACCTCAGGATTTCCACATCTGCTGTCCCTCTGCCCGCTATTTCTTATTCTTTTTTTTTTTTTGCGGTACGCGGGCCTCTCACTGTTGTGGCCTCTCCCGCTGCGGAGCACAGGCTCCGGACGCGCAGGCTCAGCGGCCATGGCTCACGGGCCCAGCCGCTCACAGCATGTGGGATCTTCCCGGACCAGGGCACGAACCCGCGTCCCCTGCATCGGCAGGCGGACTCTCACCCAGTGCGCCACCAGGGAAGCCCTGTGTACTGTCAATTCTTTAAAAAGATATGGTGGGTGAATGGAAGAATGGATGGATCGATGGATAGCTGGATGGATGACTGGCTGGAGGGATGGTGTCAACCATATTTTCTAATTCCCTCAATGAAAGTAGGAGGAACTTTTGCACATCTAGTCCCAGGTCCTGATGTTTAGCGTGAAGCTGTGTTTGCTGTAAGCCCCTCTTGCTCACCATCAGACAACAGGGCTTCTACCTTATTTCCCAATCTAATTCCCATTTTGTCCCCTATGAGCCATCCCTGAGCTGCTGCCTCAGTCCCAGCCTGCAGCCTGGAATGGCTCCTGCCCATGTGGAGGACCACACAGGCTAGAGGAGAGATTTTTCACAACAGAAGCATCTTGGCATCCTAGCACCTTACCCCCAACATGACATCTGACAGCATAAAATCAACCACGGAGAATACAGTCATTTTCCTTCATAGCAGCTTCAAACTGTAGTTCTCAGAACAGTCCGTTGGGTTTCTTTTCTTCATCCCAGAAATGCCCACTGCCCTTTTAAGTACCCTCCGCAAAGTAAGAACGGTTCTTCTCTTACCTGGATATTCTTTGTAAAATTTGTGTCGTAAGAATCGCCCATCTGGAAAAGAAGTGAGAGGATTAAACTCCTTTCGGGGAGTTTATAAGGCCAAAACTATTTTCACAACAATGCTAAGAAATTATTTGTGTTTTCCACTCTCATTCTCTCACAGGCGTCCGGTGGAATTTTCCAGAAGCTACAGTGGCGTGTGACACTGCGGCCGATTAAATGCAGAAGCAGAACGACCCAATTCCCACTGTTGATTGTCATCAACCACCTCCTTCCTCAGCCCCAGCCCTGTCACAGCAGTAAAACATTTTCTGGTGGGAGTTGGGGAGATTTCACGCGGGAGAGTGGAGAAGTCTGGCCAGATCACGCAGACGCTTCACTTGGCAACGCGTCTATCGGTAAACGCCCCCCTCCCCCTCTGTGCACCAGTCTCATCTGACTGCTGTAAGGTTAATAAATCGCATTTGTGCGCTTGAAACTAATATTCTATGCCGATCATAGCTCAATCAAAATCATGTTTATGTACTCAGGGGCATCTTGTTTCCTCCTCTTCTGTGGCTATCCTATCATCAGGGTGTCCAGGACCAGCAGTGACGTTTACTGTACAAGGCGACAGAACCAACGGCTGACCCACACCCTCGGGCAGAGAGCTTATCAGCAAGCTCAACCACTACTATTTACCACGATTTTTCCATTTACGGCTATTTTCCGAAGCAAATGGCAAAATTCTTCCAGGCCGGAGGCTCTCCGAAACATTCCTGCTCCTCCCTTCTCCCTGGGGGTGAATTATGGCCCCTGATGCCATGGGCAGGAGACTGTGGTCTGTGCGGAGCCGGACCCCTTCCTCACACCAGGTGTGTTTACCAGAGGTGTCGCTTTTACAAAATTAACCTATGCATTTGAGCCCCTGCTCTGGGCTGTGCCACCTTGTTATCCTTCGCAGGCAGCATCCAGGGAAGTCACTTTGTCAGAGGGAAGAGTCGGGGGTGGGGGGGCTCATCTCCCACATCTCAGTCTTGGATGGTCAGTATCGGAGCAGCATGGAACCCACTCAGAAGATGCACGAGGTGGGGATAAATTAGGAGGTTGGGATTGACATGTACACACGACTATGTATAAAACAGATAACCAACCAGGACCTATTGTATAGCAGGGAAAACAACCTGAAAAGGAACAGATATATATATGAGTGTGTGTGTGTATATCTGAATCACTGTGTTGTACACCTGAAACTAACGTGACATTGGAAATCAATTATACTTCAATAAAGTAAAATAAAATAAAATAAAAAGATGCACTGAGGACCCCGACCCTGCTCTCTGAGAAATCAGATTACTGCTTGTGTTGATGTTCATTTTCCTCTCAAGAAAGACATCAACTCCTCAGACGTCAGGGTCCAGGCTGAACTCAGAGTGGTCCTTGGCCCCCTGTAGCAGCCAGCTCTCAGCAGAGACCTGCATCTTAGGCGTGGGCAGGAGATCTGTAACTTATTCTCAGATAGTCCCCAAAAGTAACTATGTGGATTTATATATAGAGAGAGTGCAGGGTTGGGGGAGAGGCAGAGAGAGCACGATAAAGGAAAGAGTATTTAACAGTTGATGAATTAGGGGGGAGGCTCCAAGGGACTCTCCTTGCCGCTTTTCTGTAAGTCAGAAATTACTTCAGTTCTTCCCTGGTGGCGCAGTGCTTAAGAACCTGCCTGCCAATGCAGGGAACACGGGTTCGAGCTCTGATCTGGGAAGATCCCACATGCCGTGGAGCACCTAAGCCTGTGCGCCACAACTACTGAGCCCGTGCGCCACAACTACTGAAGCCCACGCACCTAGAGCCCGTGCTCTACAACAAGAGAAGCCACTGCAATGAGAAGCCCGTGCACCACTACGAAGACCCAACGCAACCAAAAAATTAAAAAAATTTAAAAAAAGAAATGACCTCAAATATGCAGTTTTTTAAACACTTAAAATCCGAGGCTTCTTGTTTGGTTACCCTGGGACAAGAGTGCTCCTCTATTCCCAGAGACCGTTGCTCCAAGGGAAGTTGTTGGAATTTAAGATGTTTCCAAACTCCTGTACAATTACCAATAATTACTGCTAAGTGACAGCCCTCTGGGGACAAGGCTAGGGGAAATTTCAATTACATTTCTATCTAGAAGGCTCCGATCATTCCTGTGGGTGGGGGAGGACACACACCCATGGGCTTCGGAGCAGGTGGCCAGGCTTGGAATTCTCACTCTGCTCCCTGTTAGGTGTATGCATTGTCTGGGCACGTTTCTGATCTCCAGCCCTCCCTCTTCCGGAAGACAGGTGACAGCTGAGCACATTGGTTGGGGACCTACTATGTGTCGGGCGCTGCCCTAAGCACTTTGTAAGCGTTCTCTCATTCAAGCTTCATCACTAACCCAAGAGGCAATTACTATCGTGACCGTCACTGCTCCATTTTACAGATGAAGAAACTGAGGCTACGAAAGCTTAGCTTAGCTGCCCAAGGTCACCCAGGAAGAACGCCACAGCATTTGAACCCATTTCAGTGGCCTGCAGTCTTAATCACACTCGACACTGCTCCTGGTCATACTTCTGCCTTTGCAGGCTCGCACTGAAGCTTAGGGGAGCGCCCACAAGGGCCTCAATCAACCCCGGGTGTCATCAGTATAGCCACCTGACTGTCTCTTTGTTTATCTCCACCCTTGAAGTGGGTCCTTTTTGAACTGGTTTGGTCCCTCGAAAACGGGTTTGAACCTGTCTGGCTTACTCTGGTCTTGGAGGTCATATAACCGAATGAGTGAGATCAGGAGATGAGAAAGGCCACGTAATTCCAGGCCTTTCCAGTTATAAAAATGACATTTCGGTTCAGAGGACTCCTGACTAACCCCCACCATCCCCAGCTCTTTTGGAAAAAGCTGCTCCTTCCAGCAGGTTCCTACAGGCTGGCCTGTTCTTGGGGTTGTATGTCCGAAGGACTGCGTATCCAGTCCACCTGCGTACTCCGTCCACTGTGGTGTCTACAGACAGCAGTGGTGCCAACAGAAGGGATTCGGTTCTGTGCTTGAGAAACTACAGACGTGGTTTATTTACATGGATTAACTCACTGGCTCCTCAGAGAGTCCATGAAGTAGCTTAACTACTATTAGCCCTGTTTACATATAAGGAAAGCGAGGCCTGAAAAGGTTGGGCGATTTGCCACACACAGCAGCAAGGGGCCAAGTGGCCGCTAGAACCGTGGCTGTCTGGCTGGAGAACCTACTCATAACCCTAAATAGCAAGTGGAATGTAGGAGAAATCTCAGATTCCTGGTTGGTTCCAATCCTTTTATAAGTAATTTTTTTCAAAGCTCAGAATTCCAGGAACCAGGATTCCTGAGACAGTTCCATGCCTCATAATTTTATTACTTGCAATGATGCTGACGCTAAATGCATAACAGATTTAACATCTATGTCTTTCTTGAAACACCTCAGAGAAATAAATTCTCAAATGAGGAAAAAGAAATGCTTTGGCAGATAACGCATGTGATGGGTTCTCTGGGCCAGTAAGGTCGCTGTGATTATCCTCGATTTTGACCGAGGTGCTATCCTCAGCTATTAGGACTAAGAGATGTTAAAGTGGGGATGTGGGCCCTGGAGGGTATGGTCTCAAAGTTCCAATAAGCTCATCTTTGACATGGTTACCCTCCATCTCCCTGAAGTTCCCGATTCTTCATTTGCCACACATTTCTGGCAAATTCCATGCCTAACCTCTCCACCTTACACCTTGCATGAGGCAGGAGTGGCTTTTAGGTACCCTCAGCAGCCCCTCCTCTGCCGTCCTTGCCCCCCTGGGGAAAAGTATGCAAACTAAAGCCACACTATTCATGCCCTTCACTGAACTATTTATTGCCTTGTCTCCAAAGACAAATACTAATTAAGTCACACTGAACAGTGCTAGCAGAGATAAGTTAAGGGTTCTCAGACAATACAAATTCTGTGCAGTTTAAAATGGATAGATAGATAGATACAAATTATCCAACTTTTACTGAGCACCTTTAGTCTCTGCTCTGGCATCACACGTATGATTTCAATTAATCCCCATAACCCAGCATGAAGTGGCCCCATTTTACAGATAAGAAAACCGAGGCTCAGAGATTTGAAACAACTGACCACAAGGTCAGCCAGGCAGGAGGTGGCCAAGCTGGGGTTTGCCCACATCCTGCTCAGATGAGGAGGGAGAAGGTGCAGAGGAGCAGGGCAGAGGGGGACAGGAGGAGGGCGGCCAGGCTCAGGGGCGGGGGCTTCCTTTGGGACGGGTCTCCCGTGGGGGGTTCCGGGGAGAGTGGGGTGGGGCTCGGTGTCCACACTCACCTGCCGGCCGGCGCTGCTTGACACACTGCCCGCTGTTGGGGATGCCCTCAGCCAGGTCACCCGGGCTCAGGATGTGGCACTCATAGCCTGAGGGGCAGAGGAGTGGCTCGGCCCCATCCTCTGTGGTGCTGCAGGCCTCTGCTGCGGGGGACACACACGCGGGGGGCTCAGGGGTGGCCCCCATGGGGGCAGAGGGGCCGCCTCTCATCGGTACCCCAGATTCCACGCTGTGCCTGGGGTCTCTGCACACACACATGCACAAGGGGGGAGCCCAGAGTCACATGATCCCAAACATGCCCTCGCATGCATGCATCGTGACATGCATATTGGGTTGGCCAAAAAGTTCGTTCGGTTAGCGATTGCGTTGCTCAAGAAAAGTTCTTTGTGAAAATGAAAAACGTCAATTTTTACTTAAAACCGAGTGAACGTTTTGGCCAACCCACTACATGTATGTTCATCCCCACACAATGAAACACATATGCTCGTGCTTATAATCACACGTACATACATGTTTACCCACCAAAATCCTATACACACACGTCACATACACACATTTTCACCGTCCCACAAGTCCTAACACAAGCATACACACACACACACAGCCATATCCACACCCACATTCACATGCACACAAATCCTGCACACACACACACACACCCCTACAGTCGCACACATCTGCACAAACACGGACGCACAAGTTCTCAGACACACGGCCACAAGCACAGCCAGCTGGCTTCACGCACAGCCGCACACCCTGACAGACACGGTCACGCACTCGGATGTATGTAGGGTCACAAGCACAGCTGCACAAACGCAAAGGTGCTCCCTCACAGCCGCATCCCCACAGTGGTCCAGGCCCCTGGGCCTGCCTGCCATTCCTTTCAGAAACTGTTCTCCACCCACCCCGGAAGGAGGCCTCGTCAGCAGGGAACACCCCTTATGGTGACTTGAGGGATCTGAAAACCCCAAGCCCCCTCCCTCTGAATTCTCCACCCAGGGAGGAGGCCCCATTGCCAGGGACAGTCAAACCCCACACTGTTCTGCGGATTCTGAGAGCCTGGCCAAGCCCCAGCCACCCCCTTCCGTGTCGGGGTGGGGAGGGTCCAAGCGGGCCAGGTATTAGAGGACAGGCAGCCTGCCGGAGCAGAGGCTAACCCTGGTTCTCAGTTTTCTGGGGGCACCTGAGAAGGGGGGACCCTGGCTCTGCTGTCGGGTTGGGCATCACCCTGCAGGTACCTTGCAATGCCTCCTCAGGGCCGTCCAGGAGCCAGCCGTTGCCCCCAAGCCATCGAGGTTTCGGCTGCACTAGCCAGTCTAAAACTGACAAGATAATAGATGGTTAAATTGAGGCCCTCCTCAGGCAGCTGAGAAATGCCCCAGCCTCTGGGGATGGGGAGCCTACATCTCATGATGAAACACAGAGCCTCCCCGCAGGAGAAACAACTCAGTTCCCCAGCAAAAGTTCATCCTTCCCTTTTAGTAACAGAACTCCTGAGTTTCAGCTAGGCACTGGCTGGCCAAGCTGGAGACTACATTTCCCAGCCTCCCATGCAGCAAGGTGTGCCATGTGACTGAGTTCTGGCCAATTGGATATGAGCAGAAGTAACCACGCCACATCCCAGCTTTCACTGGTATGGTTACCTGTCGGCTCCCCTCCCTCTCTCTTTCCAGCTTCCTGCAGACTGGGAGCCACCACGTGGAGCAACGAGACAGAGGGAACCTGGGTCCCTGGGTGACTGGAGCGGAGCCACCTGCCTGTCATGGACCACCTGTCGACTCCGGCCTTTTAACCGAGGGAGAAGTAAATGTCTAATAGGTTGGGCCCCTGAGTTTGTGGGTCTTTTTGTTACAGCATCATGGCCTGTTCTCTAACCAACACATTTTTAACAGGAAGAGTGACCATGTAGTAGACTGGAAGGTCTTCAAAACCCCAAACAGGGATTGAAAACCCAAATGCCTCTGGGGACAGATAGGTAACATAAAGGAGGAAGGTAGGCTGGGTAGGATCACGGCCAACAGGAGAGTGTTCCTGCCTCAGTGGGTCAGCGGCTGGTCAGCTCTGGCCAGCTGTTCTCAGTGTTCCTAGAGCTTCTGGGTGGTTTTTGTGTGTGTGTGTTTTAAACTTTAGGTCTGTATTTTAAAAAATATAAACTCTTGGTTTTAAATGTTGGCAAATAATTTTTTTTAATTTTAAGTACTTTGGAGATTAAATAAAACTGGTCTGGGATCACATTCGTTTATGACCCCTGCTTTAGTCTGACTCCAAAATAAAGACATTGATGTGCTGTCCAGTGCCTTTGAAAGTACCTAGATAGGGATTGGTAAAGATACCAGTTAGCTTTTTCTTTAAAAGAGCACGATATGGTTATAAGATGGTTGCTCTCAGTGTGGAAATGGAAACAGCAGAACCAGCAGTTTACAACTTCCAAACGAGAGGGGTGAGACATGGTTCCAGAGCCTCTGTTTCCAATCTTCTAGTTCTTCCCTCCTTTTCCCCACTGCCTCGGACTTAATGTTAGAAAATGTATTTTCAATGTTATTTTTTACTAAACAGGAAATGTATTAATTTTTCCTGTACAGGGAAATGTACACATTTTGCTATACTTTTGGGAATACTGAAATTTGGCCAAGGTCTCCCATCAATATGCAGTCCCTAAAGGCTTGGAGGCCCAGGGTCTCACCTCTCTGCTCCCCAACTAGAACTTCCTGGGACCACCTGCTAAATAAACTCCCCTCACTCAAGACCTTATCTCGGGGTCTGCTTTGGAGGAAACCCACAGGCTGCCTGCAAGGAAGTGTGTAAGCTGCTTAGAACAGGGCCTGGTGCATTTCAAGTCATGTTAAATGTGTGGTTCTCAATCTGGAGCAATTCTGCTCCCCCCCCCCCCCCCAGGAAACATCTAGTAAAGTCTAGAGATACTTTTGGTTGTCCCAGTGTGGGGTGGGGGCACCACTGCCACCTAGTGGGTGGAGGCCAGGGATGCTGCTCAAAATTCTACACTGCCCAGGTCAGCGCCCCACTGCCCACCCCAACTAGAATTATCCAAGCCCAAACGTCAAGAGTGCCAAGGGTGAGGAACCTTGTTCTAGATATTATTATCATAATTCTTATTATGACTGACTAATATTTTGTCGGCCCTTCCTGTTGGCCAGTGAAAGCTAGGCCTTCGTTGATTCATCCATTCTTCACTGAGTACCTTTTATGAGTCCAGAGACTATTTCAGGTAGTGGGGATACAGCAGTGAATGAAACAAACCAAACCTCCTGCCTCATGGGGCTGACCTTCAAGTCAGGGGAATGGTCAGGAAACAAATGAAACACAATATTCTAGACTGGGCTATAAAGAAAGCTTAAGCCAGAAGGCAGTTAGCTATGGCCAGAGGAAAGATCACCATTTAGAGAGGGAAACTTCCCTGAGAAAGTGCCCACCTCTGCCTGAGATCTGAAGGAGGTGAGGAAGTGAGCTGTGTGGGCGTCTGGGGGAAGGATGTTCTGGGCGGTGAGGGATCCCACAAATGAGCCTGGGGCCCCGTATCCCTACACTCAGAGCCTAAGGCAGTGGACACTTCTCCACAGTCAGAAGACTAAATGGAAATGCCAGCTCTGCCTGCTGTGTGACTTTGGGCAACGTACTCAGCTTCTCTGAGCTCCCGTGTCTTCAGCTGTAAAACAGGGCTGAGAGTGGTCTCTCCACCCCATGGGACTGTGTGAGCATTAAATGAGATGGTGTAAGGAAAGGCTATTTGGAATGTCATGGACAGTTGTACGGTTTGTGCACTGCTCAGAAGCACCTGTTCTAGGCAGCAAGTAAGGCTGGAGTCCCTATGCCCTGTCTCAGTCCAAAGGAAGGGGCACCTTTTTGACTTGTCCAACCAGATGGGCATACTTTTACGTGCTTCCTCCAAGAGGAAGGGGTGCCATTTTGTCTTTTTCATAAAAGGCCCTGTGGGAGCCAGCGTGGCCACGAGGCAGTACTCAAGGGCACCACAGACTGTAATTATGAGCATTACTAAGGGTGCCGAGTCCCTTGTCGTCGCTGTGACCTCACCCCAAAGAGAACTGAGTGTGTTCGTTCTTACCTTGGCCTTGAGGAGGGGGTAGTAATGAAGGCCCAGGGGACCACAGCCTCTGGCCAAAAGTGCAGTCCTAACGGGCTGCTGTCCTCCAGAGGCTCAGCCCCTGGAGGCTGGGAGCGGGGGAAACTTTTAGGGCACCTTTTCTCCACTCAGCTGCCCATAATCAGCCCCATCCTGTATTCCCCCCAGGCTCCCTTCCCTCCCCTCCCAAACCTCTCCAGAAAGGATCTGAAACTCCTTCGCTCCACAGATGAACCCCTGAGGCCTGTGTCTCCCAAAGAGATTCCCCGTTCAGATCAACAAACATCCTACTGAGTCTGTGCTCCTAGCCGGAGGCGGGGCTGAGCACTTCCGGATGCGGCGCTCCGCGTGAGCTGCCCATTCTCCTTTCAGCCCTGCTTTACAAGTGCAGGTTTAAGTTGGTGACCAGCTAGCCAGTGGATTTGATTGAACCCAGGAGTCTGCATGCCCACCTGGATCGCTAAGGTGTCAGATCTCCATCTCAAATACCCCCAGGGCCAGGCGTCATGAGTGAAGTGGGCCTTATGGGGTCCCTGGAAACCTGGAGGCCGCCCCCGCTGCCATCTAGGGGCACCTGAGGCTCCAGCAGATGGTGGCCCAGGGAATGCGGTCCAGTATTTTTAAGAAAAGCTGGAGGACTTCCGTGGTGGCGCAGTGCTTAAGAATCCGCCTGCCAATGCAGGGCACACAGGTTCGACCCCTGGTCCGGGAAGATCGCACAGGAGGCGGAGCAACTAAGCCCACGCCCTAGAGACCCTGTTCCACAACAAGAGAAGCCTTTTAAAGGAAAAGCTGGAAATCTGGATTTTTTATGAGAAATCTCCCCCATCTTCATAAGAGGGGTATTTTCCTTTTAACGGGCGGCCCCTGGACTATAGTTCTCTGCCCGCAGTGGCGAGCCCCGCATACAGCAGGCGCTCAGTGCATGCAGCTGGATGCTTGCTCCAGGAGCGCTATGTTCCCATCTCACAGGGCGGCCCGCCCAGGTGGTCCAGGTTTAAGCCCAGCTGTTCCTCCAGTCGGGCAGCGCTGGGCAGGACAGTTCCCCGCGCCCCCCCACCCCGTCTCCCCCGGCCTGGAGCACCTACCTGGCGGGGGCGGCACGGCCTCCAGGCAGGCGTAGGCGCAGCCGTTGTAGCAGCAGCGCCGGTGCCGCGGGCACTCAGAGTCAGCCTGGCAGCGCGCCGCCTGGCAGGCGCCGGGGGGCAGCGAGCGCGGGGGCGGCGGGCAGCGGTCGGCTCGGGGCTGTCGGGGGCCGCCAGCTTCCTCGGCCTGCGGGAAGAGGGGGCGTCAGCAGGACGGGGCGGTTGCTGTGCGCCGCGGGCGAGTCGCTGGGCCTCTCTGAGCCGCCGTGTCCTCGCGTGATCACAGCATCCTCGCATGATCACAGCAGAACCAGCCTCAGCAGGTTGCTCTGAGGATGAAACAGCTCTGAGACTGTTTCTCTTTGTAATAGCCCCAAACTGAAATGACTGTAAGCCCATCAGCAGCAAAAAGGAGAAATGAATCTGGATAAGAGTTGTATGTTAAGCGTCTATCCTGATGTTTATATGTATGTATGTACATATATGTATGTATTTACATATAAAATACGGTATATATATGTATACAAACACAATAGATACACACACATATTTATATACTTCTTATAATTCATGTGTTTATATAGAGCTTTGAGAATTTACAGATCACACACAAAATGAATAAATTCACGTAGCAAACGGCTTGGATAAACGTCACAGGCATAACACTGAGAAAAAAAAAGAAGTCAGCTCACAAGAGAACATATAGTATGAATCCATCTACAGTTTTCGTTCAAAAACAGGCAAAGCTGATGTCTGGTGTGAGAACAGGAGCGTGGTCCCCTGGTGGGTGGTGACCTGAAGGGGGTCTGGGGTCTCTGGGCGCCGGCCCCGTTCTGCTTCCTGATCTGGGCGCTGGTTCCATGGTGTGTTCGTTTTGTGGGGATTCATGGAGCTGAACTCAGGATTTTCACACTTTCTGGTACTACGTTTCCAGAAAGAGTTAAAAATATGATATCCTGGGCTTCCCTGGTGGCGCAGTGGTTGAGAGTCCGCCTGCCGATGCAGGGGACACGGGTTCGTGCCCCGGTCCGGGAGGATCCCGCATGCCGCGGAGCGGCTGGGCCCGTGAGCCATGGCCGCTGAGCCTGCGCGTCCGGAGCCTGTGCTCCGCAGCGGGAGAGGCCACAATGGTGAGAGGCCCGCGTACCAAAAAAAAAAAAAAAAAAAAAAAAAGATATCCTATTTAACATATAGGAAGTATGGACGCATTACCAATAAAATAAGCATTTTAGAGGTGGGGTTGGGAGAGTTCAAGTCACACCAGACCCCATCTGTGCCGGGAACACTGCTCTGCTTCTGGGTATGGAGGTGGGGTGTATGGAGGGCAGGTCTTACACATCCCGACACAGGTGTGCGCACACACACACGCACACTCACGCACAGAGTTAGATACAGAGTAGGCTCTTTGGGGGAAAAACCACTCTGGCTTGCCCCGCCTCCGGCTTATGCCTGAACCGCTCCACCCATCTAAAATGCTTTACCCACTGATCCCCCGATCTCCCCCAACATATATGTATTGCAAAATCCTGCACCTTGTACTGTCCAAGTAAATAATGCACGTCTGCAGACTGGAGTAGCACGCAGCCACTAAACCTGCTGATGAGAGATCCCCAAGAGATGGTGGTTCATGAAGAGAATTAAGATATAGAACCGTTTGTCTGCTCTTCACCTATGTTTTCAAATATTCATATGCACACACATGTAATATGCATATGTTTAACAGGCCTAGAACATCTTTGGAAGGATATACAAGAATACACAGCAGCCGTTGGTCAAAGATTGCCTCTGGAGAGAAGAATTAGGTTCTGAAGCCAAGGGAGAGTTCTCCTTATTGTACGCTTTTTTTCCCTTATTGCATGCTCTTTTGCACAGGTTCCTATATATATATATATTGCCATGAACACACTGAGTTTTTTTCAATTTAAAGAAGACAATTAAAAAACTTAAAAGGTAGAAGTACTTAAGAAGAATGATTAAGGACAGGAAAAACCTTATATGTTAGTAAATAAATAAATAAAAGGCAAGCTACACAATGCTATATGCCCTCAAAGGTCAAGGATGTATGAACGTCCTTCCGCCACAGCCACTGCGGTGGCTGCAAACTCCACGCGCTGCTCCCAGCGCCCAGTAGGGGGCGTCGGGTCACAGAGAACAGGTCCCGACCAGACGCATCTGCCAATGCGTGCAATCACAAGGACCAGTGGTTCTCAAACTACCTCACAGGGACCCCTCCCCCCCACCAGGGGCTAAGACTGGGCGGGGTGGGGGGTGGGGAGGAAACCGTGACCGAGTGGAGCGCGGGAGGGGTGCAGTCTGGGGAGGGTGGGGCTCCTGGCCCTCCCTGCTTCAGCCAGAGAATTCTTTTTTTTTTTTTAAATAGAAGCAGAGTTGATTTCCGATATTGTGTTAATTTCAGGTGTGCAGCAAAGTGATTCAGTTATACATATATATTTTTTCAGATTATTTTCCATTATAGGTTATTCCAAGATATTGAATATAATTCCCTGTGCTTTACAGTAGACCCTTGTTGCTTATCTATTTTGTGTATAGTAGTTTGTACCCAGAGAATTCATCTTTTCTCCCTTATACAAATCATTTAATTTGTGAAAAGCAAAAATGAATACAAAGCCAACATTTGGCGGAAACGAAGCCAAAATAAAGGGGCAATCTTGTAACTCCTGGATCTTCTAACTCCTGGTTCAGCCTTTTTGCCATCCTCTGCTCGGCTGGGTGCCCCAAATTCCTGTATCCTCAGGAATAATTTCCAAGATGCAGGCAGGGCACATAATCCTGCACCATTAACTCAGTTCATTTTCTTAAGAATTAGCAACATCGGACCCACGTTGCGGCCCCGCCATTTGAATCCTAATTGGAGGTGACAGCTGCCCTGGCCTCCTTCGGAGGGTGAGGGAGGATGTCTGTGCGTGGCTGGGAAGGGATGGCTGGTTTTTCCGCCCAGCCTGTTTTCACATCAAGCCTCATTTATAAAATTTAACAGAACCTGGAGATCAGACGGGAAACGCTTTCCACCCACCTCCAATGCCTCCCAGGTGGGTGACTTCCTAAGGGCAGCCCCTAACAGGGGCGCTCTCCAGGGAAAATTCAAATGTCGGTTCTCAGAATTTGGAGAAAACAAAAGAGATAAGCGCCTTAGAAGTCAAATGCCCCAGTGATTTATGGTGCTGCCAGAACAACAGATGGTCCTGGGTGATAAAGAACCGATTTCACGGAGGGGCCCAGATTAAAGGATTAAATGTTTTGAAAAATATTTCATGTCATGCAAGGTGATGCTCACAGAGGGTCCTAAACAAAGGATGTTTCCTGGTGTTCTGAGAAAGAACGGACTTTTATAAACGAAATAAATAGATCACCTTCCCAGCCCACGGGGGTTAAAGGTTAAAGGCCAAAGTCCTTGGGCTAAAGGTCAGACCCCAGCTGGCCCCATGCCCCTGCCCCTCCACTTCTCTGGCCTCCCTCCTGTCGTCCCACCGCTCTCCCCTTGCTCATTCCTGGCCAGCGCCCTGGCCTGTCTGAGGTCCCACCTCTGGGCCTTTATGGGCTGTGTCTCCCTCCTGAGATGCCCGGCTGGTTCCAGCCCTCACTTGGTCCAGGTCTCTGCTCACATGCGCTGTAGCTGGCGCTCCCCATTCCCCTCTGCCTGCCTTACATAGCTCCAAACCTCTGACCACCCTTGGGAGGACCGTGTATTGATTCACTGTTCGGTTTATTGTTTTTTCTCCCCCCTACAACGTGTCCTCCTAGGGACTCGGTCTTCTTCCCACCTGTGTCCCCAGCACCTATGACCGTGCCTGGTGTAGAGCAGGTGTTCAGTTCATTTTTGTTGTGGTTGATTGAAAGCTGTGATGATGAGAATGATGGAGGCGTGACAGTGACGGGCATCTCTTACTGGCGGTCCACCACGTGCCAGGCATCCTCATCCTTCTAGGCATTTAACAACCTGCACAATGTCCCTGTGAAGGTGGCTCTGCAGGCCAGGTGGCCTGCACTGATGTGGAGCTGTCCCTTCGTGTTTGTTTAATGCTGTACCTTTCCCCCAGCATCTGTACACGCCTTTGGTCACGTGAGTCCAGGAGAGGCAGGTCCTATTTCATCCACACTCTAAAGATGAGGCCCCCGAGGCTCAGAGAATTAAAGGTTTGCCCAAGGCCACCGGCGGAGAAGGGTCATATTACACTCCTCCCTCCTGAAGCCAAAATAATGCATCCAGAATATAAGTCTGGGGTCAGTGTTGGAAGGTTTGCTAGGACCCCAAACTCCTCCTCGCCTTGGAGCCTTCTGCACACTGTCCTTTGCACTCAGAACTCTTCCCTCTCCTTGCCCAGCTAATGCATCCTCTTCCTTTGGGGCAAGAACTTAGGGGTTACATCCCACCTTCAAGTGTACCAAGATGGATGGCGCTGAGGCCATGACTTCCTCAACAGTCAGGGATTTGAGCTCAGGTGCGGGAATTAGATGAGTCTGGCTTGGACCCCTGTAGCTGTGTCATCATACAGGAAAATGACCTCTCTGAGCCTCCGTCTTCCTCACCTGCAAAATGGGCCCAGAAGTAAGTGCCCGCTGCAGGGATTTGTAGAGGGAGCAGATGAGATCACATCTGTGGGTGCTCTGCTCAGCGATGCTGATCGCTTGGTTTTATCATTACTTTTATTTTTGGTCTTTCCTGCTTCCTCCCTCCTTCCCGCCCTCGATTCACTCACACACTGATGATGCTTTAGTTGTGATGCTGAGGCGGATGCAAAAGAAACCTATGAGCCGGTCCCTGTCCCCGAGGAGTTCAGGATCTAACTGGGGTCTAAAGGTGCGCAAGCAAGAAACCCTCCCGCAGTAGTGCCATCATTTCTAGGGAGGGAGGGGGGGCGGTGGGGGGGAAGGGTGCAAACAACTGGCAGAGTTCCTAAGAGGAAGCAGCCGTCCCAGCACTGCTCCCTGAGGGTCCCCTGAGGTAGCATCCATCGCTCCCCTGTAGTTACACCTGCTGACCCCATTGTACAGGTGAGGAAACTGAGGCGCATACTCACCATATGGGGAAGCGTCAGGGTCGGAACTTGGGCAGGCTGATTCATTTATTAAGCTCCCACTGCGTGCATTTATTAAGCTCCCACTGCGTGCCAACGCTGTGCTAGGTCCTCACATACTGAATTTCACGGAATTCTCAGCATAACGCTC